CTGAGTCACTTTGCTGTACAGCAGAAATTAATACAACACTGTAAATCAACTACACTTCAATAAAAAAAAAAAAAAAAAAAAAAAAAAAAGAAGTGAGCCTGATTTTTCAGTAAATATAACTTCTAGATTAAACATGTTACATTCTTCAACATATTTACTGGGGGAAGCCATATATTTAATGATGCTGTCATTCCTCAACACAATTTTTGAAACTGTCTTTAAATTTGCCTTTATAGAGAAGTTTCAACCCCATTCTCCTTTTTCTTACTATATTACACATCCTCCAATATACACGCAGTATACATGCACACAACTTCCTTTTTGAACAAAAACAATATTACTGAAATCGAACGTCCATGTATTCATCAAATTGGTATCAGAATAATGTTGGGATGCCTCCAAAGACCAAATCCATTCCTAAAAGACAAATATATCCCAACCCTAACACATCAAAATAGTGTAGAGATAAATCCCCCCTCCTTAACCCCCCAATTTTAAGTAATAGCAGCAATAAGTTGAATTGGAAACCAGGATCTTTACTTACAAAATGATGGATTTGTTTGGAAGTATAAATTGAGCTGTGTTTGCTCAAACATTAGTGGCATGACTTAACAGTAATAACAACCAACATTTATTTGGTGCTTTTCTGTTTATAAGTAATTTCTCAGTCATTTTTCTCATTGGAGGCCTAAAGTAATCCTGTGAAATTACTCAGATACAGAAAAGGAAAATGCCCTTGACCTCTGCTCTCTCCCTCTTCCTGCTAGTGGGAATGGTGGTGACAACACTGCTCTTGGTAGCCCTGTGTTGAAAATGGCGGAGCCCTGTCAGCCTGGGACCCTGAATGACTGTGGAGCAGAGCTACATACCGTTATGAATTGTTCACCTTGTAGTTTTTATGTGAGAGAGAAGTAAACGTTTTTGTCCTTTAAACCATATTACTTTGGAATCTCTCATTATAACAACTTCATCTTTTACCCTCTTGTTCTGAATTCATCCTTATCATTTACATACCATTTGTTATTACTCTATCCAGTAAACCACGTGGAGGGCAAGCAAATGTCTGTCTTAGTCTTTGCAAGTGATTTGGTTCAGCTGGTGTTTCTTGCATTTTTTCATTGCTATTCAGTAGGTCACTTCCTTCTGTTGGTTCATTTCCATCTATACCTCTGGGGTTCATAACTGTTTCCTCCTGTGTTTAAAGCAATTAAAAAATCCTTAAAACTATATATTTGCTGTACATTTTTATAGTTACTGAGCCATCACATCACAAATCAAACTTCTGTTGCTAGAATCAAGGCTAACACTTTACAGAGGAAAAGCACAGCTTTATTACTAGCTAATTGGAGAATGCTCAGAATAAGAATGAACTATGTGAGGAGTATTTACCATTGAGTCACTATTTGTAGCATTATAAATGCTTGAGTCACATAAAATTTCATTATGATTTTCAATACTGGGTTTAAAAATTAGCCTATTTAAAATATGATTCAAGGCCATAGTTGGTAAATATGCCAGAGTGATTCAGAAAGAGATAATCATCTGTGGCAAAAACAAATTCACATTCATTCATTTACTTTAATTTAAGCAATAAAGAGGGAAGAAACCAGAATCATTCTAGGGCTTAGGCTGGGAACACAAAGCACTTCACAGGCTCTCCATGTAGGGCCACCTGCTAATGACTATCTAGGAAAACTGGCAGTCACACCTACTACACCAGTTTGGGGATTTAAGAATGGGGAGAATTGTTAATTGAGTGATAGAGAATGAAGAGAACACAATTCTGTCATAGATTTGGAAATGTAGTCCCCTCCTTAAGGAAATGGTTGGGATGTTCTACATTTGATCACACCTGTTGTACTTGACACCTGGAGGCTGTGTGATTCACCTCTGTAGATGGTTCTGAATCTTCATGCTTAATTGTTTTATCTTGATTCTCCATGATTTATAATTAAGAATATGACAGAGGGAAGAACAGGATCTGTTTTGAAGGAGAAAGAGTATAGATTATAGAACAGCAATTTGAGATTTAAATGAATGAATTGTACTTATTTTTCCCCTTAGTGGCTAAAATATTTTAAATTAGACTGTTCTTAACTTTCAATTGCTAATCTTTTCTTTGATTACAATATATAATCCTAATTCTTACCTACCTTTTTACCTTTCTTGAAAAAGCCCTCGTTTACCATATTTTTACATGATTTCCTTCCCACCCTGTTTTCTGAGTTATATTGCAAATAATCCCAGCAATATTACTGTTAAATTGTCCTCTCTAATGGGCCGCATTGAAGCAGGAAAGCCCCAGGTAATTTTCCAATGTTGATATGTGGAAATGAGTCACCGAAGAGAAATCTACAGATTCCATCATATTCAGAGAAACCAGAGTCACTAATTCCTGCCTAGTTCTTATTTCAAAATTGAAATTTAAAAAAATACAACAACAATGATGGAGCAGCCACAATGTCTTAGACACTGTGATAAGTGCTGTGACAGACTCTCGGTAGTCACTGTGGGTAATTCAAAGATTACCAAAGCACATCCTTTGCCCTCTACAGACGTACAGTACACCAAGAAAAATCAATTTGTATGAAGTAACTAAAAAACCTGTAGGGCAGACCTGTAGGTTGCCTTCATAAACACCCACTTCAATCTCTTCTCCCTTGGCTTCCCATGCTATATGGGCTGAAAAGACAAATATTCCAATTCCTAGCTACTTTTGCAGCTACAGGTGGCCATGTGTCATAGTTCTATGTAATGAGATCTAAGTGGGAGTCCCTGGGGAGGGCTTTCATTCCCAAACAATAAGGCAAAAGACCTTTCAAGGATCATACTGTTCACTCTTTGCCCTCTCACCTTTCTTTCTCCGTCCTAGATTGTAGATATACCTCCTGGAGGGCCAACAGTCATCTTTTAACCATGAAAATAAAAACCCCTATACAAGGACAGTAGACAAGAAAGAAGGAGGAGCTGGTTCCTTGACGACATCATGAGTTGCTGCGTCAGTCTTGGACTGCCAAGCTTTGGAGTAATTGTATAAACCACTATTACCAAGCTTTCTTTTTATTAGTAACCAAACTTATTCCTAATGCAACAAGTGTGATGAGTATTATGATAGAGGTACAAACTATAAGCATCGGCAGAACCAAAGAGAAAATTATGTGAGAGAAGGGAAAATCTAATTCAATACACACTTTTTTTTTTTTTTTTTTGTGGTATGCAGGCCTCTCAGTATTGTGGCCTCTCCCGTTGCGGAGCACAGGCTCTGGACGCGCTGGCTCAGCGGCCATGGCTCACGGGCCCAGCTGCTCTGTGGCATGTGGGATCTTCCCGGACCGGGGCATGAACCCTGTGTCCCCTGCGTCGGCAGGCGGACTCTCAACCACTGCGCCACCAGGGAAGCCCATCAATACACATTTGAGTGCCTAATATGTGCCAGGCACTATGCTAGACCATAAAGACAGGGATAAATTAGCTAGGACCCCTGCCTCAAGGCATCATTTTCTGTTTAACAAAATGCCAAGATGCTTGCATTTAAAATTTCAATGAAAATAATATCCTTTCCACCACCACCACCATCATTTTTCTTCCTTGCAGAATACAATGTTGGCCAGAGTGGCATCTCAAAAAGCCTTCAGTTTGATTTTTATTATATATTATATAAAATAAATACAAGTATATAGAATGATACATTACATATGTATATGTGTTTATGTATATGTATATATAGTTTTTAAAATTTAAATACTTCAAACTTTAGACTCATGAGAAAGAATGCCATTTTGACTGGAAAATGCTGGGTTCAGCATTTGTCTTAAAGGCATTGAGGCATGAAAGCCAGTGCGGTGCAAAGGAAAACTCTGTTAGAGCCTGTGGTGGGAGGCTATGGATAATGAGAGACAAGGCTGGAGACTTTGGACATTGTATCCCAAACCATGGCACTTGGCCTTCACCCTCTGTAGAGACTGACCCCCTAATATAGTAGGTGACAAAGTCTATTGGCTCTGGATTTGGACAAACCTGGGTCTAAAGTCCAGCTCCATCATATACCAAATTTCTTAGGCTGTTTGTAAGTAATTCTCCATCTGTACAATGGAGACAAGAGTAGGCCCAACCATGGATATGGTAGGCATTCACTAGTGTTGGTTATTAGCCACTCATATTCCTCCTCCCTAATTATCATGAATCTCTGAGATTCTTTTTGCTTTTCCTCTTAAAGCAGGACAAGTTCTCCCCAGTCTTGAAGAATTTACTACATAATTCCATTCATTTTCTTTGATCATGATTTTAACCTCTTTCTTTCAAGGCAAACTTCTTGATTAGGGGACGTAACACTACTGGCTAAAATGAATTTCAGAATTCATTTTATTAATGTTATTCTAGTCCTTTTTAACATAAAAAATCAAAATTGGGCATGTTGCACAATATATGCTATTTTCGAGAATTCATATAGTTTTGTGTTTAAAAAAATGTCCCTATTCTCCCATAGTCTCCACCATGGATACCAAAATACTGTTTGAGATCAGAGAGGTATTGCAGAGAGAAAAGGTAAAATAAAATACCAGTATTTTAATAAGTCCAGTAAAACAACTTACAACTGGTCAGCTCTGTTTGTTTATACTCTGCTATGTTTCCAAAAGAATACTTAAACCACTGGTCTCATTTCAAAACCCAACTTAAATTTAGAAAAATCACAAAAATGTAACTTAAAGCAACCATGTTCATGGCATTTATTGTTCATAGTCACTGGGTCTTGGAATTTACAATATTTACAAATTTACAATAGTATATCCCCCATTAAGAAGGCAGAAGAAGGTAAAGAAATCAGAAAATATGGAAAAATAAGCTTTTTAAGGACCGTAAGAAATATCATGAAGTCCATTAAAAAGTAGAAAGTTTAGGGCTTCCCTGATGGTGCAGTTGTTGAGAGTCCGCCTGCTGATGCGGGGGACACGGGTTCGTGCCCCGGTCCGGGAGGATCCCATGTGCCGCGGAGCGGCTAGGCCCGTGAGCTATGGCTGCTGAGCCTGTGCGTCCAGAGCCTGTGCTCCAT